AAAAGATATAAATTGTGACATCAAAAACATAAAACATGGGCAGGGGAGTAAAATTGTAGAGCTTTAGAATGCATTTGAACTTAAGTTATTATCAACATAAAACAGACTGTTATAAATATAAGTAGTTTTATGTAAGTCTCGTGGTAACACAAAGCAAAAACCTAGAGCAGGTTTTTACAAAAGATAAAGAGAAAGGAGTCTAAGCATACTACTACAGAAAATCATCAAATCAAAGAGAGCAAGAGAAGAAGAAAGGAACAAAGGAATTACAAAACAGCTAGAAAACAATTACCAAAATGGCAATAAGTACATACCTATCAATAATTACTTTAAATGTAAATGGACTAAATTCTCCAATCAAAAGACAGAGAGTGGCTGAATGGATTAAAAAACAAGACCCATCTATATGCTGTCTACAGGAGACTCACTTCAGATGTAAAGACACACACAGACTGAAATGAAGGGATGGAAAAAAGAGACTCCATGCAAATGGAAACCAAAAGAAGACGGGGGTAGCTATACTTATATCAGACAAAATAGACTGTAGACAAAGACAAAGACTGTAATAAGAGATCATTATATAATGATAAAGGGGTCAATCCAACAAGAAGATATAACATTTTAAATATTTATACACCCAACATAGGAGCACTTAAATGTATAAAACAAATATTAACAGACCTAAAGGGAGAAATACATAGCAGTGTAATAATAGGGGACTTCAGTACTCCACTTTCATCAACAGATAGATCATTCTGACAGAAAATCAATACAGAAACATTGGCCTTAAATGACACATAAGACCAGATGGTGTTAACAGACATATATAGAACATTCCACCCAAAAGAGAATACACATTCTTCTTAAGTGCACTTAGGACATTCTCCAGGATAAATCATGTGGTAGGGCACAAAGCAAATCTTAATAAATTTAAGAAAACTGAAATCATATCAAGCATCTTTCTTGACCACAATGGTATAAAACTAAAAATCAATTACAAGAAAAAACTTGAAAAAACACAAATAAGTGGAGATGAAACAACATGCTACTGAACAACCAATGGATCAAAGAAAAAATCAAAAAATACCTGAAACAAATGAAAATGGAACCACTACATACCAAAACTTATGGGATGCAGCAAAAGCAGTTCTAAGAGGGAACGTCACAGCAATAAATGCCCATATTAAGAAACAAAGATCTCAAACTGCCTAACTTTACACCTCAAGGAACTAGAAAAAGAAGAACAAACTAAGCCCAGAATCAGTAGAAGGAAGGGAATAACAAAGATCAGAGCAGAAATAAATGAAATAGAGACTAAAAAGGTAATAGAAAAGATCAATGAAACTAAGAGCTGGTTTTTTGAAAAGATAAACAAAATAGGCAAACCTTTAGCTCGACTCACCAAGAAAAAGAGAGAACTCAAATAAAATCAGAAATGAAAGAAGAGACATTACAACTGACACCACAGAAATATAAAGGATTATAAGACACTACTATGAACAATTATACACCAACAAATTGGACAACCTAGAAGAAATGGATAAATTCCTAGACACATACAACCTACCAAGATGGAATCATGAAGAAATAGAAAATCTGAACAGACCGATAACCAGTAAGGAGATTGAATCAGTAAACAAAAAGCTCCCAACAAACAAAAGCCCAGGACCAGATGGCTTCACTGGTGATTCTACCAAAAATTAAAAGAAGAATTAATACCAATCCTTCTCAAACTCTTCCAAAAAATAGAACAGGAAGGAACACTCTCAAACTCATTTCACAAGGCCAGCATTACCCTGATACCAAAACCAAACAAGGACACTACAAGAAAAGAAAATTACAAGCCAATATCCCTGAGAACCTAGATTCAAAAATCCTCAACAAAATATTAGCAAACCAAATTGAACAATGCATTAAAAGGATCATATACCATGATCAAGTGGGGTTTATTCCAGGGATTCAAGGATGGTTCAACATCTGCAAATCAATCAATGTGATACATCAACAAAATGAAAGATTAAAATCATAAGATTATCCCAATAGATGCAGAAAAGGCATTTGGCAAATTTCAACATACGTTTATGATAAAAACGCTCAACAAAGTGGGAATAGAGGGAACGTACCTCAATATAATAAAGGCCATATGTGACAAGCCCACAGCTTAGATCTGACAGTGAAAGCTTTTCCTCTAAGATCAGGAAGAAGACAAAGATCCCCACTCTCACCACTTTTATTCTACATAGTACTGGAAGTCCCAGCCAGAGCAATTAGGCAAGAAAAAGAAATAAAAGGTATACAAATCAGAAAGGAAGAAGTAAAACTGTCACTATTTGCAGATGACATGACATTATATATAGAAAACTCTAAAGACTCCACCAAAAACTGTTAGAACTAATAAACAAATTTAGTAAAGTTGCAGGATACAAAATCAATGTAAAAAAATCTTTTGCATTTCCATACACTAATAACAAACTATCAGAAGAAAAATTAACAGTCCCATTTGCAACTACATCAAAAAGAATGAAACATCAAAGACGTGCAAGACCTGTACACTGAAAACTATAAGACATTGATGAAAGAAATTGAAGAACACAAATCAATGGAAAGTTATTTTGTGCCCATGTATTGGAACAATTAATATTTTTTAAATTTCCGTACTACCCAAAGCAATCTACAGATTCAATGCAATCTCTATCAAAATTCCAATGGTATTTTTCATAGAAATAGAACAAAAAGCCTAAAATTTATATGGAACCACAAAAAACCCCAAATAGCCAAAGCAATCTGAGAAAGAAGAACAAAGCGGGACGCATCACGCTTCCTGATTTCAAACTATATGACAAAGCTATAGTAATCAAAACAGTATGGTATTAGCACAAAAAAGACACATAGATCAGTGGAACAGAATAGAGAGCCCAAAAGTAAACCCAAGCATATATGGTCCGTTAATTTAGGACAAGGAGCCAAGAAGATACAATGGGGAAAGGATAATTATCTCTTTAATAAATGGTTCTGGGAAAGCTGGACAGCCATAGGCAAAAGAATGAAACTGGACCACTGTCTTACACCACACACCAAATTAACTCAGAATGGATTAAAGACGTGAATGTAAGACCTGAAACCATAATATTCCTAGAAGAAAACATAGGCAGTAAGCTCCCTGACATCGGTTGTGGTGACAATTTTTTGGATCTGACACCAAAAGCAAAGGCAATAAAAGTAAAAATAAACAAGTGGGACTACATCAAACTAAAAAGCTTCTGCACAGCAAAGGAAACCATCAACAAAATGAAAAGGCAACCTTGCAAATGGGACAAAATATTTGCAAATGATATATCTGAAAAGAGGTTAATATCCAAAATATATAAAGGACTCATACAACTCAACAACAAAAACAAACAATCCAATTAAAAAGTGGGGAGAGGGGCCGGCCTGGTGGTATAGTGGTTAAGTTCACGTGCTCCACTTCAGCGGCCCGGAGTTCACAGGTTCGGATCCCGGGTGCAGACCGACACGCCACTCATCAAGCCATGCTGTGGTGGCATCCCATATACAGAATAGAGGAAGATGGGCACAGATGTTAGCTCAGAGCTAATCTTCCTCAGCAAAAAGAGGAGGATTGGCAATGGATGTTAGCTCAGAGCCAGCCTTCCTCACAAAAAAATAAATAAATAAAAATAAAAAATAGAACTACCATATGATCTAGCAATTCTACTTCTGAGTATTTATCCAAAAGAAACAAAAACACTAACTTGAAAAGATATGTGCACCCCCACGTTCACTGCAGCATTATTTGCAATAGCCAAGACATAGAAGCAACCCAAGTGTCCACTGATGGATAATAAGTAAAGAAAACGTGATACACATACACACAATGGAATATTATTCAGCCATAAAAAAAAAGGAAATCCTGCCATTTGCAACAACATGAATGGACCTTGAGGGCATTATGCTGAGTGAAATAAGTCAGAGAAAAACAAACACCATATGATCTCATTTATATGTGGAATCTAAAAAAATAACTCATAGATACAGAGAACAGATTGGTGGTTGCTAGAGGCGGGGGGTGCAGGATGGGTGAATTAAGTGAAGGTGGGCAAAAGGTACAAACTTCCAGTTATAAAATAAATAAATCCTGGGGACATAATGTACAGCATGGTGATTATAGTTAATAATACTGTATTGCATATTTGAAGTTTGCGAAGAGAGTAAATCTTAAAAGTTCTCATCACAAGAAAAAATTCATAACTATGTTAACGACATATTGTGATCATTTCACAGTATATGCATATATCAAATCATTATGTTGTACACCTGAAACTAATGTGATGTTATATGTCAATTATATCTCAATTTTTTAAAGAAGTTTAGGGGCTGGCCCCATGGCTTAGCGGTTAAGTGCTCTCACTCAGCTACTGGCGGCCTGGGTTCGGATCCCGGGTGCGCACCAACACACTGCTTGTCTGGCCATGCTGAGGCTGCATCCCACATACAGCAACTAGAGGGCTGTGCAACTGTGACATACAACTATCTACTGGGGCTTTGGGGAGAAAAGGGGAAAAAAAAAGGAGGAGGATTGGCAATAGATGTTAGCTCAGGGCTGATCTTCCTCACAAAAAAAAAATAAATAAAAAAGTTTACCTTCCCTTCTCAAACACTTTTATTAAAACAGCTAATAAGTGGGCCGGCCCCGTGGCTTAGCGGTTAAGTGCGCGCGCTCCACTACTGGCGGCCTGGGTTTGGATCCCAGGCGCACACCGATGCACCGCTTCTCCGGCCATGCTGAGGCCACGTCCCACATACAGCAACTAGAAGGATGTGCAACTATGACGTACAACTAGATCTACTGGGGCTTTGGGGGAAAAAATAAATAAAATTTTAAAAAAATAAATAAAATAAAAAACAGCTAATAAGTATTGGGCATATTTTTCTTTATTATAAGAATTTTTTTCATGTGCGATAATACATGGTATTAACATTTGATTATTTTTGTCTTGCAGGTGTAAAGGGTCAAGTTTTTGATCAGAATGGAAATCCGTTACCCAATGCAATTGTAGAAGTCCAAGACAGAAAGCATATCTGCCCCTACAGAACTAACAAATTTGGAGAATATTATCTCCTTCTCTTGCCTGGGTCCTACATAATAAATGTGAGTATACAGTCCTACTTATTGTTATTAAAGTATTAAAGAACTCACAATAGTTACTCAGAAGGAATCTAGATCAGCCTGGAAAGTCCCAAAGTAGATTCATGAGGACAGAAGGAAAGGACGACGACAGACCTGCATTTGGCGGGAGTGGGAGTGGTGGCAATGAAGGGAACAAACAAAAAAAATCACGTCTTTCCCCAACTGGCAATTAATTTTTTTAATAGAAGCCAAATCCTATTTCTTGTGGTACCTTTTGTGATTAAAAAAAAAAATGGGACAAACCTTATTAATAATGAGAAGAATTAAGCAACGTGCTCAAAGTACTTCCAAGCTTCATGGAATACCATTTTAACACTCATTCCATGAAACATAATTTCTATTAAAAAATAGATTGGGACACAAGTTCCTTAGAATTCATTGTAAGTAAAATTTGATCCACAAATGTTACCACTGTATTAAGCAAGTGACAGATTTTCCAGCCCTTTCATAACAAATGACGGTGAGTTTTCCAATCATGCAAGTAAAATTCCAGTTAAGATGCGGGTCTCTGAGTCATTTCTTCCTAGAAGGAGGCATGGGCTAGTCTGAGCCGGAGCAGGTTTATGTGAATGAACTAAATGAGTAAGTACCTGATGTAGTTGGCCAGATTGTGCCTCTCCTCTTTGATATGACTTTCTCTAAGAAACTCAAGAATCTTCTACTTTGCTTGGAGGGTCTGATGCCAACCACAGCAGCCATTCTGTTCTGTACAGAGCTACTCCCGGGAGAAGGTCGTCATCTATTCTGTAGTAAAAACTGGCTTTGTATTTCACGATTGCATCTTTAGGACATAATAAAGGCACGGTTTTCAGCTTATAAACTGTGGGATTCAGAGCCTCCCTGCTCATAGGTCATCCCTGCAGTGCCCATGGTGGGGCATCCTCTTCTTGAGAATCTCTCCTCCTACTGAGAAGACGGATAGAGTCAGAAAGACCTCAACTCAATGTGAATCTCTGCCTAAAAAGGCCCTTTATTTTCCTGTTATTTACTGTGACATTTCTATTCTATGAGAAAAAGAGCTTTCCTTGTAGTGAATCTAAATTGTTTTATGCAATCTCATATAGGCCACACCTTTATAGAATAAAGTTATGAATTCTCATTTCCAATTAGTTAGACTAACACAGTACCTGTTAGCTTTAGCTATTAGTTCTAGGATAAGACTGGAAGGCAAGACTTGGGAAGCCAAAGTGATGGCGGAAATCGCTATCGGTGAGTGGTTATGTAAACGTTATTTCCTCTCCCCCATATGTAATAAAAGCGTTTCTCAGTGCACATGGTCCATAGTTAGTTTAGCATTTGTCCTGTTTTTCCTGATCATTTCCTCCACCCAAAAACAAGTCTAGCTGAAGATTCAGACTCATGAACAAAACGAGATAAAATCCAAGCTTTTTAAGGAAGCAAGAAACTTGGACACTTAGATGAGCTGCAAGGAAAATGGAATAAATTGAGAAAAGAATATTAAGTACAGCCTGAGGACAAGGGGACAGCCATCCCTTGACCTCTGCTCTCCATGAAATGACGGGGAAGACTCGGTCTCCTGCTTCCTTCTCCTGACTTACGTCTCCGGAGAGGGGACCTGTCCTTATTTCACACTGTAATTCTTGGCCATGGCATTAACAACCGTGGTCCTTACCAGCAGGCACTGGGACTGAAGCGTGACTAGCCGGGAGGCCTGGTGACGGTTACATTTTCAGAAAGGCCGCATTGTCGTGGGGGTATCAGTGTCTTCAATGTTGGCGACACAAACATCTGGGATCACTCAGTTGTTTCTTCTTTCCTCTCAGGTCACGGTCCCTGGACACGACCCACACCTCACGAAGGTGGTTATTCCAGGAAAATCCCAGAACTTCAGTGCTCTGAAAAAGGATATTTTACTTCCATTCAGAGGGCAGTTGGATTCTATCCCAGAATCCAGTCCTTCATGTCCTGTGGCTCCTCTGTACGGTGATGTGCCAAGCCACTCGGCTGCATCAAAGCCCAGTCTGTTCTTATTTTTGATGACTATTTTTTACATATTGTTCAAGTAAAGCAAAACGTGAAACTCAACCCCCCTCGCCACCTGGAATCGGGGATCACTCACGCAGGTGACGGCAACTCTCACTCCTGTGGGATCAAGACCGGATAAACTCCACGGTCCCTCCCTGAGGAGAGAAACCCTGCAACAAGCAGTGTGGCGATGGTGAAGGAAGACACCTACCTCTCAGCACTGCCCGCTCACACCTCGCCTTCCAGTTTCTCAGAAACTTGTAAGAAGTTAGACTTGAGAAGCAAAAAGGAAGCTCCTGCAAGAAAAAAAGGAGCAAATTCTGTCGTCAGGGAGCCAGATGAATATAGGCAATGAAGATGAACGTTCACTGATCACCTGCTGTACTCAAGACCCTGCCATGAGTGCCCCCTGTGAAGGGAGAGTGCCACGTATAATTAGTTCTCAGCACAGGGAGACATCATGATGGGACTGAGAACGTTTAGTTTGCAAATGTTCTAAGAAAATATGAGAGAAAATAGTTCAACCAGGTCTCAGTGGCCCAAGAAGATATGGGCCTGATGCGATGACACAGTTGTGTCTGCAGAGCCCCAAAACAGCAGGTAGGTTAAGTAGGTGTCCCTGCCTTCTGACTTGGGTGCCACAGTCCTGTCATGCTGGTGACCCCCGGATGTGTGACTTGCCTCTAGCCGGAGCTGCAGACTCATGTCGACTGCCCACTGGACATATCGCCTGGGTGTGACCCACAGGCACCTCAGGCTCATCGTGTGGAAAACTGAACACACTCTCCCCCTCGAGCCGCTCTTCCTTCTGTGTTCTGTCTCGGTTCCTAGAACCCCCAGCTAGAGAGCAGGGAGTCGTCCCTGATACTCCCCCTCCCTCTCCATCCCACAGATTCAGTCCATCGCTAGAGACTGATGCTCACTACAAACGTCGATCGATCTCTCTCTCCATGGCTACTGACACGGCCAAGTGCAGGCCATCACAGCTCACCTGTGCCCCTGCACCAGCGTGACGGGTCTCCTGACCCAGGCTTCTGCGCTTCAGACCCGTCCTCCACACAGCACTGGGGGAGGGGGTCTATCTAAAACAGCAGTCAACAGCCAACTGCTGGTAGTTGCTACACACACACCATGCGTCTGTGTCCCGTGTCTGGCATGCTTTTCTTTTTTTGCTGAGGAAGATTCATCCTGAGCTAACATCTGCTGCCAATCTTCCTCTTTTTTCCCTTGAGGAAGATTCGCCCTGAGCTAACATCTGTCCAACTTCCTCTATTTTGTATGTGGGTCGCTGCCACAGCATGGCTGGTGAGTGATGTAGGTCCACGCCTGAGATCCGAACCCAAGAACCTGGGCTGCTGAAGCAGAGCACACGAAACTTGAACCACTCGGCCATGGGGCCAGCCCCAGGAATGCTGTTCTGACCAACTCCTCCAGGAAGCCTCTGCTGACCATCGCCCCATTCCATTCCATTCCATCCTCTCAGTCTGAGGGCCCTTCCTCTTCACTCCCCAGATTACAGGGGTCACATCTAGTATTGGATTTGCACGCTGTATTATGGTGCACATGTGTGATTTTCTCTAGTACAGTGTGAACTCTTTGAGGCCCAGAATGTTTAATTTGTTTGAAAACTTCGTTTTTATATCCTGAGCCTAGCACAGAGTAGGAACTTAATGAATGAATGAATAAATGAATGAATGAACAAAGGGTTCCAGCAACCTGCTCCCCCTAGTCTCTCCCAGAAACTATAAAGCTTTGAAAAGTCATTTTATGAAACTAGGTCCTGTGCTTTGGCACTCTGGCTCACTAGTAACACTGACAGAAGAGTATTTTCATCTCTGTATCAAGAAATTAATTCAAATAGGGTGCTTTTACCAGACTTTGCATTTATCCCAAGGTTCATAGTAAAGGTATTACGTTACCTGGCAACAACACTGTAAGCCGCCTTTTTTAACAGAAAACAAAATTTTTACATTAGTACTCAATTTGAAGCAACGGTTCTCCACTGTAAGGAGAGTTAACCTATCATAAAACATTATCTGTAAGAATTAAGGGCGGCGGGGGTAGGGGGAAGCATCAAACAGAAAAAATAACCACTCTGGTAAGCAGATTTCTAAGTGCTGTGTATTGCTCATGGGAAGTGAGTTTCGTTGGCTCTTATTTTAAATTGAAAGTTTATAGGATCTGAACACAAAACTGTACTGGGCATGGTGAATGCTTGAGAACCACAAATGAATGGAAGATAAATGGGCATATAGGAGCTACTCCTGTGCCAAGCCTATTATACATGCACAAAGTCAGATATGCTAATGTAAACAGAATTGGTAGTCTTTTAATCACTTCTTTTAAATTTGGTAATAACCTGAATATCTTGATCATTTTTATTTAAATAACCAGTAATTTATTATATACTTGAAAGTATATATTAATATAATATTGCAGAGAATGATTTTGGTATATTACATATAGAAGTATGTAAAATTCAACTTGATTTATCAAGCCCTAAACAACTTTCCAATCAGGCATTCTGAGTTCTAACTTCCTTTTCCAAGAAAGCAATATTTGAAGGGACATGAACCAAAATCTGAATTGGTTCATGAGCCTTAAGGTAAATTTCTTAGAGAAATAATGCTTTTAAAATCAGAAATTTTATCGAATCAAACCTAAAATCATTTAGAGGCAAGCAAAACAATTAGAGTAATCTCCAAACCAAACCGAAACCAAAGCTGAACTTAATTCAGAGCAGGTTTGGGGCACCTGTTTTGCAGTGATGGCCCTGTGCTCCAAAGTCAAGTTTAGCCAGGGTTTATTATGCAAAATCCCAGCTTCTCCGCTCGTCAAGCGAGGTGTCAGAGGAGAAACCAGCGCGAAATGCTGACTAGAGTCAGACGGAGACCCCAAACTCCCTGCGTAACGCCCCTCCCACTGTCCCCACCCTCCTAGGCTGGGCTATGGGCCTTGGGTTCCAGGCTCAGGTTAATTCCTTTGGTAGAAAAACCCACACAGTAAAGGTCCTTAAGATAGGAGAGAGGACGATGATGTGTGGAGGCAGGAGCCCTGGGTTCAGACCCACCCCGCATCTGGTTCCCTTACCTGTGAAAGGAAGGCCTCTCCTGACTGTGATCCTGGGGCTGTCGGACACTGCGGGGTAAGACGCCACACTTCAGCGCCATTTTGGGGGCTTGCCCAGGTGGAGGAAGGATAATAAACACTCAGGTGGCATAAATATTTTGAAGGCAGTATAACTTATTAAAGACCAAATCTTTGCCTCAGATATAAACAGAATTGGCCTGAAACCTGAAACACTGGTTAGCTAAAATGATCATTGCATAACATTTAAGGAAACGTTCATGAAGTAACACAGCTTTTTCTCATGCACCTAATCCAATTATGATCAATCTTCACATGAATGAATCTAAACGGTGGAGAGTATTTTAGAGAAACGTTGAGTCCCTGCAGGTGAGTGTCAGTGCTGATTTGGGTGCTTAGTTTATCACACTCAGACGTGAGCTATTGGATGGATCAGAAATGGTAAAGCTTCTTCTCAACATTTCTGAAAGTCTAAGAAACCACCGTTGTGTTTCGTTTCAGAAGCAAATGTGCCCTTGTAATGTTTCTTAAAATGGTGTAAGAAGTTAGCCCTACTTTTAGAAGCTGATTTTATCTGACACTGGATTGGAAATATCTTTTCCTAGGGAATCCAGAAAAATGAGCACGGCATACTGTCTCACTGCAGCGGGATCAGCTGCTCACTGAGAAGCGTGGGTCTTGCTCTGTACAGCTGATGTCTGTTTTATGACAGATCCTGTATATCTTCCTCATGACTTTAGATGGGGGACGGGGAGAAGATGATGGGTAAAGAGCGAAAGAAAGTTCACAACACCTCACAGAAGTTTGGGACAGAGTCTAACTTCCTCCCGTCACTAAGCAGCAGATACTGTCCTGGCTGCCCACAAACCGTTTTCTCATCCTCGAGCACGTGAACGACTCTGCAGCCCCATGGCTGCTCCACAGCTGAGTTTACAGGTTTTCTCAGTGACTTTCTTTTGTACTATAATTAAGAACTTAAAATGCACAAACTATGACTGTAGAGTTTTATTGGGTAGGGGCCATGACTACCTCTGAATTCACTAAATTTATAATATTTCTGATTCTCAATAAAGAATTAATATTCATGTAAACAATGAATGCTGTTTCTTCCATGACATTCCCTTGAAAACAAGTACTTACGTAGGTGCAACAAAAGTCCACAGACTAGAGAGAACTGATTACCACCAAATAAAGCCCGAGAAAGACCAAATGTAATGACCTTTTATGAGGCAATACTATCGCAATAACTCTTGAAAGCCCAGTCTTTCCAGAACAGTTTATATGATATATACCCATCCTAATATACATGTTATATTCCAAATTAACTTGTACCGTGGGGCAGATGACGGATGAGAGGCGGGCCTTCTGGTAAAAACAAAAGCAAACTTGGGAAAATTCACAATGCACATTGCTGTAGTAAAGGGCGTGAGAAACCATGAAGGAAAGAAATGGATTTCCCAAACAGAGTTAGCCATGGAACCATTTTCTTAAATAATTTAGCCTAGGACCATCCCTTTGAACTTATGTCCTAGAATTCAAACACATGTGAGGAAATGCTGATGGAGGGAGAAGTCTTTTGTCCTGAATAATCAATTTCATTGATTTCAAAGTGCTTTTGAAATGCAGAGCACAGTTATAAACAAAGACTCTGCCTCCTGTAGGAACTGGAAAACTGACGGCCCTAACCCTCATCCACGCAGCCCTGATCATGTTGAATTTCTAGTCCTAGGACAGAGGTTGGGCTCAAGTTTATGTCTGCCCTCTGAAATATGCTCAACAACAGTTTAAAGGAGACAAGGCTGAGTAGGAAATGGCTAACTTACAGGTACCAATTTCTAAAAAGTGATAAATACTTCAATTTAGAAAATAAATTGGGAACAGTTTTTCTATTTTCAAAAGAGAATTCATTACATAGGAACGAACCCCTTGGTGTATTTTAGCTAGACTTCGATGTTTCAGTTTGCAGCTCCTTAGAGCATCCATTACTCCCCACCCGCAACCCCCAAAAAAGCAAGGTACGATTTTTACATGAACTAAATTTTAAAATATTAGACACAAGGAGGAGAAGTGAAGAAGAGCATAAACACGTGATGAACCCATTTTGTGGATGGTGGGATGTTTTTGTTTCTCCTGCTTCGTTTTTGAAACTTTCTATTTACGACTTTTACAATGAAAGAAAAGCAACTGATTTAAAGAATGGACCCGCCAATTTTAGCAGCTCTCATTTACACAAGTCATTTCTACACCCATTCTTACATATTCATTACACATTTCTGGAGTTTCTACTAAAACAACAGTTGATTAACTGAGGTCCAAGTTACTGAAAACGTGTTTCTCCTAATTGATGGACGTCGGTCCTTC